AGAAGGCCGTCGAACACAGAGATATTGTGGAACAAACACGTGCGACACCTGTGTCATGTGTACAGGAGGTGGTGGGGTACCCTTTTGTTTAAAGCGTTCGCTCGTCACGCCGAAGGCCCGGGTTCGATTCCCCACAATGGTACAATGTGTGTCCTCGTGGTATTGCTGGCATATTTCTAAAACGGCGTAAAACCCAACTCACTCACTCTAGTGTACAGCTTAGTACCATCATAAACATCGTCAAAGTCTTCGAATCATAAATTAACTGAAGCCTTATGCCAGAAAAGACTCAATAAGTTCAACTATTCCAACACACCCAACATCCTACTTAACTCGATCGTTGTCAGCTGTCGATGTATGTTATGTTTTATATCAACTTGTTTTTGCCTGGCTTACATTGCCCTTACTATTTGAAGGCAGGAAATGTTCAAAGGAAGTGCTTCCCAGCTGTCTCCTAAGAAACTTTGCTGATTTTATTTCTTCATGCTCTTCTTGAGTATATGTAGGTGTTGACGGTATAGCCTCACGCTTTTACACCCTCGTGTTTATGGAGTTTCTAGGGTATACATTAGGGCTGCGCAGTTTAACCGGTTTACCGGAATTTACCGGTTCAGACATGAAAACGATACGTATTGCGATAGCTGATCGAAAACCGGTATTTTGACCTGCACTTGGAAAACTTTGTCACACACGGAAATCTTCGGATATTTCCGTTTTTCACACCGGAAGCCAAGTTAGGTTCGGTCTTAAGTTACATATTTACTCATTAATGATCAGTGATCTCTTATATGTCCTGACCAGGTCAAGTTGCTGTCTCAGGGCTTGTTTTGAGAGTGGAGAAACTAGTCCAAAGTAGTATACGTAACCACTGTGTTGATGTTAAATTATTCTTTTCTTTGTTTCATTTGTGCCAAATATTAGTAATTACATTTTCATTTTGTCATGATTAAAAGTTTATATTAAAGCTTAATCAAGCATACTGATTTTGTTGAGTTTTTGCTTTATAAATCAAGCGTTAACTCGATTATAAGTAGTTTGGGTTGTTGGGTTTTAAAAAACCCAAACTTCTTGCAATACATTGCAATACATATCGCAATATATCACAATATGAAAATTCTCTGCAATACCCACCCCTTGTATACATGTCTGAGTCATGAAACATCAGTACAGTCTTGACACCAGCGTTCTCAAAAAGGGCAAGTGTGTCCTCGCCTACTGGTAGCAGTCTCCATGACATGTTGAGCATCTTCGAGAGTTGATGTGATACTGTCAGTGCCAGAATGCACAAATCATACTGATGAAATAACTTTTTTTTTGTCAAGCCAGCTGAAACCCTTGACTACTTGAATACGTAACTATCTGACAGATTCAGTAGTGGGGTCGTACTTGTGGTTTAGATCGTCCCAATCTTCTTCCTGAGGTCATTACACACGAGTCAAACATCAAAGAGTCGACTTCCAAACTGTTGTTGTTGAAGAGTGAGTGATGAGTTTAGTTTTACGCCACACTCAGAAATATTCCGGCTATATGGCGGCGGTCTGTAAATAATCGGGTCTGAACCAGACAATCCAGTGATCCACAGCATGGGCATCGATCTGCGCAATTGGGGTACGATGGCATGTTTCAACCAAGTCAGCAAGCCTGACCACCCGATCCCGTCAGTCGCCTCTTACGACAAGCATGGGTTACTGAAGATCAATTCTAATCTGGATCTTCACGGGTCGATGTCATACGAAATAAAGTGACGTAACGCCGTCATGTGCTGTCTGTCTGGAACGACCAGTGATCAGGAAGTAACTTTCCATATTGCGAGTGTCACACAATTTAAATAGTTTCACGATGCGGTTAAGACCATCAACAAATTACAAATGCGAAAGATAAGGAGTTAATTTAAAAGATATTTTTTATTTACTTCCACAGTTTGTCAAGCCATCCAGTACAAGATAAAATAAATAGTCCTAAGTGTTTCCTAAGTAACACATTGTCACCGATGTAAATAGCCTAATCTGGAAGGTTCACTGACCGGTCACATCAAGCTGCTAACCTAACACACTGACGAATCCATACAAGTCCGTCTCCACTGTTCGCCTGTTGACGTTCTTTGTGATCGAATTATTTGTACAATTACTTGTTTATGATATTTTCCAGGAAACGATTTGATTGGTAGGTTGGTTTGTAAAACACCACACTAAGCAATATAGCTTGAGTTCTTGAGTTGAGTTGAGTATTACGACGCATTACTTCAGCCATATGGCGGCAGTTTGAAAATAATCGTCAAGAATATTTCTCTGGGCTAAAACGCAGATATGCATCGCTTTGCTGCAACATAAAGCGCGCCTGTGTCAGTTATATTCAGACTACAGCTTGAACGTATTTCGTTACAGTGAGATTCTTAATCACACTGTTTTAATGGGAAAGCTTCTTTAATTGCTTGAAGAAATGTTAAACATTACCTTAGATAAGTTAAATATGTGTTATAGCCAATGACATTTGAAGTTAATATTCTTTGCTAGTATTTCGATGGTTCCTTAACTGGGAAATAACGTGGTTTCATAAAGTTTAAATACTGATATTATAAATTTCCTTTTGCCGTAGCTGAAGATGAAGTGATATATTGGAATGACAGGTAAAATTTGTGAAATTGTGTTGTTCGTTTTTCTTATTGAAGTCCAGTAGATTAATCTATGTTTGAAGAGTGAATGAGTTAAAATGACTAATATGATACTCAATACATACAGTTTGAAATAAATAAATTGTCACCTGTCAATAGGGAACTATGGGTGAACTATTGTGTGAAGTCAACAAATAGGGATGCTGTCTAATAAATAAAGTACTGTACTGTACAATTAACTAGTTTATAGATCAGTAAAAAATGTTATAAAGTAACTACAATGGCATTACAACACAGAGCAGGAGTACATATGCAGTTGCTGTACAATTATCAGGGCAGTAGAAATGAAAATGGTAATGAAGCCAGAGAAATTAATATTCAGTTTTCAGCAAGACAAGCCTAGTCTGTATATTGAGTGTGGTACAAATAGTAATGATGGAACATGCTCCCGGATTGCACTTATCTCCAATGTAAATATGACACCTAGCACACCACTGTATGTTACTGAATTGTAACAGGAACAATATAATATGATTACAACATTGTTTTACAACGATTATACCTGTCACTTTACGATTGATGAATGTTCAATTAATATTATTAAAAGAGAAAATGACAATCTTCATGGTAAAATAGATCTGTGACAATATTAACAGAGCAAATAGCACAAGAATACAGGCAGGTAAAACACCACCAAGGCTGAAGATGTAAAAAGAAATGACACAGAAAATTAACAGAGAAAAAGCAAACCGATACAGAATATCAACAGAAAACATAGGCTGTGAAAGAAGACCAACAACCAAAGTAGAACTGTATCGGTTTATTATTAGCAGAAGTGTGATAAGCAGTAGTGTGATAGAGTAACAATTATGTTGACAGAGTAAATAGCACTACGACATTATTTTCACAGTACTAACAGTTCACAGCTGAAGTTAGAACAGGAATACATACACGACGTTAACATCGACGACACACTCCTAATGTTCTGTGAGATGGTTTCTCTGATCGATGAATTTTACATCAACAATGTTGAACACTTCAGAAATAAATAAAAAACAAAATGCAACAGTATCAGTTTATCAGTATCAGTTTTGTTTATAGCTGTCAAAGCATAGATTTGTTTTCCTGTCAATACAGTGTATAAATCGGCCTAAGAAGCTTGTAAAAGACATTCTGACAGCACCCTCGTTGGCAAAATGTTTCATGTCAGAATGTTCCAGCTACACGTTGGAGTAGCTTTTATATGGACGAGCCCTGTTCAAATGTTTTCATATGTTGTTCACAGACTGAAGATTGATTTGCTAAAGAGAGGCAAAAACAAAAACAAATATACCTTTGACTGAACATTGCATTATGTGCATCAATAATTTTGTGGCCATGTATTACAAGGTAATTTACGGTAGCTAAAGCATGTAATACAAGGTAATTTACGGCGGCTAATGCATGTAATACAAGGTAATTTACGGTAGCTAATGCATGTAATACAAGGTAATTTACGGTAGCTAATTCATGTAATACAAGGTAATTTACGGTAGTTAATGCATGTAATACAAGGTAATTTACGGTAGCTAATGCATGTAATACAAGGTAATTTACAGTAGCTAATGCATGTAATACAAGGTAATTTACGGTATCTAATGCCTGTAATGCAAGGTCATCTAAGGAAATTAATGCATTTAATGCAAGATCTTTTAAGGGAGGTTATGTATGTAATGCAAGGTCAAGCAATCGTGTTTGCCCGAAAGGGGATGGTAGGTGTCCTCCCATTACGCAGACAGGCAGTTCGCAGACGCCTTAAAACAAACAACATATACGGTTCAAAGAACTGATTAGCTACTCCCTGTTACCTACACATTATAATGGAATAGTCCAAATAAAAACACAAGAAAAAAGCTGAAACTATAACATTTACATTGAAATATAGCCGAAAAGATTTGAATTTTGAATTTTGATTGCTGCAATATTTAAAAACAGTTGCTTTTCATAAACATTTCAGTCTAACCTTCTCGTCTAACGGGAGTTGTCATCATCACATTGTCAAGAAGACATATAGAACTATTGGAGCATTTCAGAAATTAAAGTTCCCACTAAACAGAAAGACACCAGTTTTTCTTCAGGATTTACTCCCACCTGTACTAGTCAACCGGACAATCTATGAGTTAAGAAACTAGGATAATTTTAGCCAACCATGTACAAGACTGAGGTACTCAACATCTTTTATTCCATCAGCAGTTAAAATGTGGAATAATATTCCCTCAGCTATTAGAAATTACGACTCTGTTGCATCATTTATATCTTATATCCACGTGAAACAAAAATGTTTACCTAAATATTATTCATATGGAATAAATAGGTTAAATGTTTTGCACACAAGATTAAGATAGATGACAAATACGCTTAATTATGAATTATTTAGAATAAATATGCAAACAAATTACGCATCATGTCAACGTGGCCATGGATGTGAGAATATTTTTCATTACTTCCTTGAATGTTGATTGTATACTATTCAAAGAGATAAACTGTTACAATCTTTAGAAAGTATTGTTAAAATTAAAACATTGATATCCTATTATTGGGAGAGGGCTTTTTAAGTTGGAAAACTTATGCTCAATTCTTGTCTTGAATGAATAAAATATGTTGCCATCAATAAACACAATCAAACCGCTCAGTGACAAACCTGTTTTTATATTTGATAATAATTGATAGTAAAACTGTTTTGAGAAGAGAAGACAGATTATCATTTAATCACAACAATGTTCTTTTTACGCACAATTAAACTTCTCAGTAACGAACCTGTTTTAGACTCACCCTACTCTACTCACTAGACAGTGGACTGTTCCATTATACCCGTAGGTGTTACCCTAATTAACCTTCTACTCAGTGTCTGTCAATTGACTGCCTGTCAAATGGGTGTCTGTCAAATGGGAGATAACCTGATGGTATGTTGTGTATTTATACATCGGGTAAGCTCAAATGTTACATCAGGGACAAGCGAGGCCCCAAATGCCGGCTATTTACTGGAAATAAAAATTAACTTGAAAACTCCCCACATATCCCAACTTATTGTTGAAGAAATGGAATAGAATCGATTTTAGCCTTTAGTAACCTTTATATCTAAACATTTATATATATAACCCGTCCTTATGAGCAACAACACTTTAGTAAAAATTAAATCATGGATGGATAACGGTGTCACGAGGAACCGAGAACGGCGCAACGGTCACAAATTAGTTGAAGATTATCAACGTTTGTCTCGGATGGTATTTTGATCGGTGAAAGTGTTCGGATCTTGCTTCCAGAAACGCCTGGCCCTGGTCAAGCATGTTGTACATGTCTCATTGGGCACATGGCTTTGGGACAATACACCTCCGTGGACCAGGCAGTGAGTCCTTTATGATAATACGATAATGGAACATTAACCTTCTAGGAACTCACAGGACGTTTGCGTTGTAACTCCCAAGGAAGGCGAATTAAAATCTTTGATCGAATGTTGAAGATGATTCCCTGCTATTATCATTCACTCAATGAAAATAATGGACCTATTATTAGAGCTCTGAGCTGAAGGTCTGCCAGTAATATTGTATTTGATATTGTAACAAGGATAATTCTATGACTAGATATTATTCAGATATTTTTGTTTTGACCGTTGATCCCTCAAAATCCCAAGACTATAGGGTCAGTTACTAAGGGCACATCTTTCAAAATGAATCCATTTTTACTTTTTTGGGGGGCAGCAAATATCTCCCAAACCAATATCAATTGACATACAAATGTGGTATGCAACACAGGAATTAGACTATGTCAGAGGTTCCAGAGGTTTTGGGTTTTGGTGGGCTTTCTTACATTTTTTTCAGATAACGAATCTGTTAGGAACGTCTCTTCTGAAACTATATGAACAATGGGTGACATACACTAGGGGTTGTGACAACACTGAAAGAATCTGCACACAAAGTTGACGCCGAGGTTTTTACACCCGGTCACAGGTGGGCTCGATCCCGACACCTCAAGCTCGCTGGATCATTAGCCTGGCGCCTAAGATTGCTCACCCACCATGTAATAAACAAGACAATAGCTTTCATGGTAAGCATATGAAAGCATCATAACATATGTATGCGATTTAGCGTGAGTTTGTTTGCGATCTTTCTGTGATAGATTTACCTTACCTTCTATGCTTGTAGGTTTCTACAATTAATATTTTGTTTGTTGAAGCAAATTAAGGTTAGCCTAAGTACAGCGAGAGCGGGATGGACACTATATCGTCTCATCTAAAAGTATGGTCTACAGTGAACCTTTCATCACTAGGTACACTTTTAGGAGGTTCATCACTGTCACTTATTTGCAGTCGTTAATGAGTAAACTGAATGCGACCTATAAGATTGTTTATGGCCATAACATGACCCAATCATGATATTTGTATTTAAATCATGATAAGAAGTAGTGGTTGTTGGTGTTTCAGTAAGTAAAATAACAGCAATGAACACCAGAGAAATTAATATTCAGCAACCGGCAACATTGATCAAAGTGCCAAGGCAAGCCGAGCCTGTATAATGAAAGTGATCTTCTCAGGCCGCTGGTCTACATGTCAGTGAGATGAAATATGTAATAAAAATAATAATACATGATAATATTAATGTGAGTATCAGTTGCTATACCAAGGTGTATGTGAGGTGCTAAAATGTTAACAGTCATGTGACCATATCATCCCACCAGGTACCCATATACTGCTGGGTGAACTCACTTGCCTGTGGTGAGACAACATGTGATATAATATGTGCTTCGTTTGAGGCAGGACGAAAGTTCTAGAAACTGTCTGGAGTCAAGTTGCCAAACATTGTCACCCATCCAAGGTCTCTCTTCCACAAGAGTTATTTACCTTTAACTAATTTGTGACCTTTGTTCTTCTAGAGCAGCCCGTAACATGTTGGAATATACTAAGCTGCATCGGCCTGCGCTCCGGAATTACACTTATCTCCAAATGAAAATATAGCGACCACACACCGCTGCATGTTGCTGAATCTTAACAGCAACAATGCAATACGGTTACAACGCTGTTTTACAATGAATATCATTTTCACAACGATAGATTAATGTTCAATTAATGTTAATAACAGAGCAAATAACACTCTGGTTAAATACCACCTGAAGATTAACAGGTCATTAGTACTTACATCGACAATTAATAGAGAAAACGCAAACCGTAACAGAATATCAACAAAATAATTAGTCCTGTAAAATAAGATCAACAACAAGCGTACAAGTGTAACAAGTTATTATTAGCAGAAAGAAAACAGAAGTGTCATAGAGCAACAGCAAAAAAGAATGTTTTTGATATAATAGTGATAAAGAAAATTACGACATTAAATTCACAGTATTAACAGTTTATTGCTGTACTTATGACTAAATACACATCGTTAACACCGACGACACACTCGTAATGTTCTATAAGATGGTTTCTCTGTGCGGTAAATTTAACATCAGCAATTTTGAACACATTAGAAAATGAAAAAAATGTGAACGAGTTCCATGCAATACGTATAAGACTTAAGGTAGAATTTTGCTTATCGCTGTCAGAGCAAATTTTTTAACCCATTAACACGCTTTGTAAATCGGCAACACATCTGATGACATTTAAGGTAGATAATGCATGAAATGCCAGGTCATTAAAGGTAAGTAAATAGAAGCGACAAAACCATTTTCACATCCATAAGAAATGTCTGCTAAAAACAGGGTCGATTGTACAATCGTGACAATATCATGAGTATATATTTGTTTCAGCAGTATTACAGCTGGACGATGTTGTTCGTAAACAGATCAAGTCTGGACAATACAATCTAGTGATTGTCAACATGTCATACGATGACAGAGCATGTGTTTCTGAATCACTATGAAATAGTAATGATACCAGGTGTTCGCGAAAAGGTGAACGTATGCTGCCCTACCCGGGCACCCGTCATAAACATATGCTAAGTCTAGTCAATTGTCCACCTGAGATAATTCGGAACGTTTGGTAAAAGTAAAAATAGGGAATTGCATCGTACATCATTTTTGTCACCGATGCATCAAATGATGTTAAACGTGGAATCACCTTAGTCTCTGGCTAAAAGATGTTACTATATGAACAACGCTACTGCATTTGCCAGGGGCTCGAAAGGCGATGACAGACTGTGGAGTTTGTGCATCGGGTTATCTCATGGGACAAGTGAAACCATAGAATTCGGTCATTTTTGGAAACAATTAAATTGAAACAACATCCCATCATGTTCTTTTTAAATAATAATCAATTTTCGACTTGCTAAATTCGTTTCCCTTTCCGATGGTATCCCCTGGGTAACTTTTATATTTAAGCATTTCGGTAACCTAATACAGTCTATTGAGCATTAAATGTTGGATAACGGTCACAAATGAATTGAATATTATCAAAGTTAATCGCGGATGGTATTTTGATGGACGACAGTGTTTGAGCCTTGACTCCAGAGACCTCTGGTCCTGCTCAAGCATGTCGAACATGCGATGTCTCCCGGTGTTAGTGACGTAGTTCCAAATACGCTTCTGTTCACCAGGCAGTGAGCCCTTTAAGATGAGATGGAACATGTAACCTTCTAGAAACTCACAAGACGTTTACGTGATAACAACCATGGTCATTCACTTGATGAGTGAGTGAGTATGGTTTTACGTCGCTTTTAGCAATATTCCAGCAATATCACGGAGGGGAACACCTGAAATAGGTATCGCACATTGTACCCCTTCTGGAAATCGAACCCGGGTCTTCAGCGTGACGAGCGGACGCGTTAACCACAAGGCTAACCCCCACCCCACCCCACCCCCCCCCCACACCCCCCCCTCGTTCACTTGATGAATGTGGTATACCTAGTACTGGAGCTCTGAGCTGAAAATCTGCCAACCATACTGTGTTGTTTTGTTTTTTGTTTTAAACATATTTTATTTATTCAAGAAAAGGATTGGGCACAAGTTATCCAACTTAGAAAAGCCCTCTCCGGATAAATACACAATTCATCTTACAACAAAGTACACAAGTGACAGACATAGGCTTGGGTATGTACACCAGATGTTAACTGAGAAAGCGTTTTGTTTGAGAGATATAGATATGTACATATTTGAAAACATTCTGGTTTTCAGTGATTGAGAGACCTGCATTGCCAGTTAAGATAAGATTAATATCAATCAGTGTTCTATTTTCGACAATACGTTCTAAGGATTTTAACAGTTTGTCTTTGAATAGTGTACAATGAACATTCAAGGAAGTAATGAAAAACATTCTCACATCTATGGCCACATTGACATGATGCGTCATTTTTCACATTTATTCTATATAAATCATAATTAAGTGTACTCGTCATATATCTTAATCTAGTGTGCATAACATTGAACTTCCTTATTCCATATGAATAATATATAGATGCGCATTTGTCCTTCACGATTTTTCTTCATGATTTACTCCCACCTGTAGTAGTTAAGAGTTAAGAAACTCCAATAACTTAAGTCAACAATATACA